CGGGTCCTCATTTTACCCACCTCGGAAGGATGGAAGGCTGAGTCAACCCTGAGCCAGTGAGATTTGAACAGCCGAACTGCTGAACTGCAGTCAGCTGAAGTAGCCTGCAGTGCTGCATTTAACCACTGCGCCAACACTGATTTATATGGTGTCTTTCATTTTAAAGTTGTACTTTATACGTTTCTCGAGACTTGGATCTTCTTCCCTTATTTTCCTCTTCATGCACAATGATGACGTGTTCAACCAGGGAAGAAAATTACGATTTGCTTATTTTACACGGCATCTCATAAAAAGACTGCACTGCAGAGTAGCTCAAAAACATCGACATAAATGTCTTTAACCTTTACATAACAAAGTCTTACGCAGGATCCTTGTTCCTCGGCAAGATAGATTCACACATGACTTTTGGAAAATGGATCTTCTTTGCTGGGAAATCGATATACTGGCTGCACTCTCTGCTGTAAGCCTGGAATTCATGACGTCTTTCTGGCACATTTGCTAATGTCGTCATATCAGAATGCACCACTCCTGCTCCGATAATGCTTCTTAATTATCTTTCAAACTTTGGCATTCGTTCTGCAATCCAACATGCTTAAAAAAAACTCTGTTCATGTGAGTGATGAAACTCTACTCCTAAACTGGAGCTTCAGCATCGTCTTGTTCAACTATGAATCATCCCTGGCCAAGAAAATAATTACTACATGTGCGGATTCAGCTTTTTCTAATGCCCTCTTTACTATAATGAACAGCCTGCCTTAACAGGACTACTATGCAAAGACTGCATCTTTTTATGATCTCCATTGAAATATAACTCTTCATTATTCTGCAATTTAGGCTCTGTCATCATTCTTCTTCAGAGGGTTCATCTTGGACCAGAATTTTGTGGCTGTTTGATTTATGTATTTCTATCATGATGAATACAAAAATGAATTGTTCATTTCCCATAGGTGATATGCCATTATAGATCTAAGTTCTGTCACACTGTAATGTTGCAGATTTATTTTCAAGATGCAAATAAATCCCTTGTAGAAGTGAGGGGAAAAGAAAATTGCGGCATATTGTTGTGGTCCACCAGCGGCCTGCGGAGCTGGTGGCAGAGTCAGACAATGAGGAGGTTGGGGAGAAACATGGGACAGACTTGGAGTCTGGGGAAGGCTCGGATAAGGGTTCTGTGTCGGAGGCAGAGAGGGGACCAAGGCCATCTGGTAGTTATGTGCTGCCTCCAGAGCTTTCAGAGTCTGACATCAGTGAGGCAGATGAACAATGTGAGCCTGTTCCCACTGTGTGCATCCACAGAACTGCCAGAAGGCAAGAACAATTAAGACCAAAAGGGTGACTTGGGAGTAAGGCTTGGAGATGATTGGCCCCACCCATAAGACATAAAAGAGGAGCAAATGGGATGTGAGCCTTTGCAGGAAGGAATTAGTTCATCTAGTCAGTTCAAGCTCTGAGACATCCTGTTTGACTCTGTGCTCCATTTGGCCTTGCAAAACTAATTGGCAGTTAGGTCTCTGGCTGTGTTTCAAGGGAGATAAAGATGGATGCTTATCAGCATTACCCTGAAAGACTGTGGCAGACATCTGTCGGACTCTTCACAGACTGTGTGAATCATTACGGGCTGTGAATGACCATAATTCACAGCCGTTTATATAAAAGAGGGTTTTTGGGACTAAGTGTGTGATTTATGCTTCATCAGGAAGCGTAGGTCGGAACACATATGGAGAATCTTGCCATTTGCAGTGTTTATAATAGAATATTTGTGCATGAATAGTGCTATAGTTTTTTATAATTATTTTACATATTACAATAATAACTCAGGAAGCAGTTCTAGGACGAGGCTGTTTTTGCCCCTCAACATGCTATTTTCATTGTTAGGCTCAGAAAAGTAGAGTGAGGCAGGTTAAATTACCAGCTCTATGGTAATAGGCATTTAGACTTTACAATACAGATACAGATGGCAGTCCAGTCTCTTCTTGAAAGTTTCCAGTGATGAAGCTCCCACAACTTCTGAAAACAAGCTGCTCCACTGACTGATTGTTCTCACAGAAAATGTCTCCTTATTTCCAGGTTGAATCCGTCCTTGTTCAGTTTCCATCCATTATTCTTTGTCTGGCCTTCAGGTGCCTTGAAGAACCACTTCATTATTAGCAGAAATTAGAATGAACGATTAATCTGATATCCTTTTTTTGTTTTAAGTGATATATTCCAAATCCTTTGTTAGAATATTTAACTGAGGATGATGGAAGATAAAAGTCCAAAAAGTATGAGCAAGCGTAGAATCAAAATCACATGAAATATTAGTACCACTTTATAAAGTCTTAGTAAGACTACACCAGAGGTGGGTTCCTACCGGTTCGCACCAGTTCGGTAGAACCGGTTCGTCAAATCTACCGAACCGGTTAGAAGAGGTTCCACCAGTGGACCCGGAAAGCAGGCCACACTTACAGAAGAGGTTCCAATTTTTTTTGAAACCCACCACCGGACCACACCTGGAGTACTGCATCCAGTTGTGGTCCCACATTATAAAAAAAAGACATTGAGACTTTGGAAAAAGTGCAAAGAAGAACTACTAAAAAGATTAAAGGCCTGGAGACTAAAGCATATGAAGAACGGGGCTGCCACAAGGAGGAGGGGGTCAAATTATTCTCCAAAGTATCAGAGGGCAGGACACAAAATGGAAACCAGTCAAGGAGAGAAGCGACCTGGAACCGAGGAGAAACTACCTAACAGTGAGGACAATTAACCAGTGGAATAGTTTGCCTTCAGAAGTTGTAGGTGCTTCATCACTGGAGACTTTTAATAAGAGAGTTGGAAATGGTATAAGGTCTCCTGCTTGAGCAGGGAACTGAACTAGAAGACCTCCAAGGTCCCTTCCAGCTCTATTCTGACTGATTGAAGTCAGCTCAGCACATTAACCTCCTCTACTTAAATGGCCTTATTCTGGTTTGGAAAAGTGTCTGCTCAGTTTTTCCCCCCTTTAAATTGTTGCAGTTCCTTGGCCATTTAATAGTTCTCTGAAGAAGACACACAGCCAATTTTCAAGAACAAATGTGATAATTTTTTTTTGCTATTGTGCATATATTACTTAGATGTTTACCATCTTCACATTGAATGCCAGATACTTCAGTGTGGTATCTAGCATTCAATGTACTTTGGTTTGGGATTTATATAAACAGAAGAATACATCAGCAATTATGTCATATCTTGAAAAAAATGAACTTAGTTTGCTTTCAAATAGAAAAATATTACATAAACTGAAATGTTCATATTGACGAAACAGTTCCTGGAATCCGAAAATAAATGTTATCCTTCTAAATTCTGACTCTTGGTAGGACTTGCTATAGTCAGCTGTAAGCTGGAAAGGAAGGAAACGAACGTTTCCCACTTCTAATTGGAGTGTGGCACAAACGTTGATAATGGAGCAGGGTTGAGAAGTGTTCTCCCACCCCAGGGTTGCAAGTGGCTCTTAAATATTTCTTTGAAGATCTTGAAATCCTTTCAATAGCTTGCTTTTCTAAAATTTGAAGTGCATTTTCCTGTTTTTTCTGAGAGAATACCTAAGCATTGCTACATAAGCCCTGAAATAGTCTTAGGCTA